GGACGTTGAAAGACTATAACATCAATGAATGAAGTTCCCAACAAACAATTTTAGCTGCAGATTAGCTTATACAGGTACAAATGTTTGGCTGTATAAGCTAATCTTCAGCTAAAACATTTAGTTGGCTTATCACCTCTCTGCTCGAAAAAAACAACAGTAACTTTTGCTGGAATGCAAAAATTTCGAACGTTGTCACTGAATGCTCACTGAAATTGTATGCAGAAACAATATGGGATCCACAGATTTCAACAACGTCACTATATAGAATTCAACACTTGGTCTCAGTTAAGTGTAATTTTTGATCGATTAAATCAGATCAACATTAAGTCAAGTTATTTTTAATTGTTCTGAAACATACAATATATCTAAAAACTATAGTCAAAAGGTACAACACAATAAACATTTTATCTTCTGCTATCCAATAAGGTCAATACAAGGTCCAATACAAACAATAATAAAACAATGTTTTATTATTGTTTGTATAGTCACCATTTCACAAGTAACAACAGGCTTAAAACTGCAAATACAATTTGATTTGAAGACAGACAGAACTATGAACAGGAACAGTTGGGACGTATCAACTCTGAAAAAGAAGAAGACTAATAATAAGAAGAAGAACTAATTAAAATTCTGAATTTGTGTTATCCATCCGAACTATTTTTGCAAAGACAGTAACCTTCTATGTAGCAGAGCTGTCAAGTTAAAGCAAGCAATCAGAAGTCAAATGGTCTGATCTGTCCATACAATAGGTCTTATCTGAAATGGCCCGGACTTAGTAGAGTTGTAGATAGACTTTCTTCCTTTGTAATAATTAACACCTTTTTCAGTTCGCAGTTCAAACAGTTATGACCAGTCATTTATTTCCCTGTTTTCATTACACTTCCTACTTCCCTTTTTCTTATGTTCCTCTCTCGCTCTTGTCTACTTTCCTTTTCCATCTTATCGAATCGGTATTATTCATTTTACCGCCTGTGTTCTGAAGCAGTGCTTCCAGAACATGTGGATATATCATTATCGTTCTTAATCTTCTCATTCTATTTTTTTGTGTGAGATTTTCTGCCAGAGGCTGATTCGTCTCCGCAGGTTTATCCATCTGAACAACTATTCTAAAGACACCAAACGCCTATCTAGTCGATATGTCGACTCAAGCAAGTCTTTATAATCATATGACACTAGCGCTACATGGTGAGCGGATTCTCAACTGAGAGGCCAATCATCATCGAAAAGCCACCTGCTATCTAGTCGTGCTGTAAAGTTTAAGCAAGGATTTATATGTCAAATTGCACACTAGCGCCACCTAGTGGCGGAGTTCGAAGCTGAACTGTACTCTAGAAATGGTCGGGAACGGGTATTGATACCCGAAACCCGACCCGTACCCGTCAGGTTTGGGTCGAGTACGGGTATGCAAATTAATTAATTTTTGCCTTCGGGTCGGGTACGGGTAACAATAATCGTGGAATAGTCGGGTACGGGTCGGGAACGGTTATTTATTGCATCTTATCAAGCATCAAAATAAACTTTTTTTCGAATTTCTTCAATAAATAACATATATTATTCATGTGCCTTCACAATAACAGAAACTATGCCGTTGAGTATATGTGTTCAAATAACTGTAGAGACCAGGAACGGGTTTGTTTACCAAAAACTCAACCCGTCACAGATTCGAGTTTTTGAAAATTTTACGAATCGGGTTCGGGTATTTCACATTAAATATCCGATCATCTCTACTGTTCACCATCCAATAGGCTTTATGCATCTAAACAACTTTCTTTTAACGTAGGACTACGTCTGTCATTTCGATATGGGGGTACACTTTGTGAAAACCAAAAATGGAACATGTAACAAAATTATGAAAGATTTTCAACGTTAATAACTCTGCTGCCCCTGGACCGATTCAATAATTTTATCATCAATCGATCAGAAATATTCCTACGAATCTGCTTTAAGTTAAGACTTTATCATTTTTTAATAAACCACTATTGAAAATGTACGAATGTACAACTGTTGCTATGATAATTAAAATTATCACCGATTGCCTGCAAAAAGCAATTTCCCTAACATAGATTTCAAAGTTCAATTCCATCCGGTCTCACCAAACGGTGTTTATTCAATCACCGTGCGGTGAGTGGTGGTGTTCTCCAGTACACAACGAAAGGCTCCCCCCAAGCAGCTAGCTATCAAGGCTGGCCTCAACCGTTGATCGGATTCAGTTCCAACCACTAGTGTTGTGGTGTCCGGTCGTTCTCCAGTACACAACGAAAGACTGCCTGCAAGCAGCGAGCTGGAGCCCACATGAGCATTCATAGAAGGAGGAAGAAGCCGCACCGCTATTTATCGGAATTAGTAGCTCTTCGTGAGTCGCTGTGGGCCATATAGGTCAAGCGCGTCATACTAAAGAGTATAAACAGAGAGATCACCGCTCAAATTCCTATTCCTACACAAAACACAACACTCTTGCTGCAGTTAAAAAATAAGATTTATTATATAAGACCACGTAGTTCTACGTCACCATTGCGTACAAGCCCATAGGGCTGTCCCTTGCAGTTTTTAGCCGAGATATCGAGTTGAGCTAGCAACTAGAAGCCAAATGGTACACAAGCGCTGACTAGTGAGCGAATTCTGAACTGAGAAGTCCATCATCCAATAATTCTTAATCACTTGAACAACTTTTCTCAAGACAACAACCCTCTATCTAATCGAGATGTCGAGCTCAGCATGTAGTTTGAACTCAAATGGCACACTGAATCATCCAATAAATATTACGTCGGTTTCAAGCAACACTGTCAAACTGTAAAAATCTTCGAATATTTCACTACGCTTTTGATTGTTTACGTAGGTTTTATGCCTGGATTGCAAGTTTTTGCAATCCACCACTAGATAAATATCCGACTTTTGAAAGTAAGGTGTAATCAAGTAATATTATTTGGATTTTGTATCGAAAAAAAAAGTAAAATTTAGAATTGTGACTGTATTGCATGGAATTGACGAATTATCCATCTGAACAAAATTGCCGAAGGCCGCAATCTTCTATCTAGTCGAGATGTTAATTTAAAGCAAACAATAAGAAGCCAAATGGTACTCTTGCATCGCCTGGTGACGAAATTCTCATATCCTCAACTGAACTGTCAAACATTATTTAATTGGCGTTGACGGCAACTTTGTAGCTCTTTACTCCTATGGTAAAATCAATAAGCAAACGTCAGACTGTGCGTGAAACATGGCGGACTTCGTACTATCAACAATCAATACGAAACTAACGATTTTAAATTGGCTCACTACTTGACTAGTCTATTGGTCCCAAGCAAATCGATTAACGTATCCCATTCTAGTCAAAATTATAGTACTACACAATGTTTGTTTTGATTCGCTATGAAATTTTGACAGATAAAATGAGGGGTTAGTGGATTTTCCTATGTTTCGAGGGGTGAATCGATTAGCTTGGGACCGAAGATATTACCAGAGCTGAGCCAAAAAGTTGAGCACGTTTCTTCGGGACCTACTAGTCTTAGAGTTATCTCTATGGTATTTACTATCCTTTCACTCCATCGAAGAATCCCATAAGAAACTGTCAATCTTTTCTAGAAGAGACAATTTTTCGACGGTGCCGTCCATCTGAACATCTTTGCTGGTAACCTTCCATTTGTTGGAAATCTTGATATTAGAACGAGATATTGATGTCGACCTTCAAAAGTGTCTAATGATGTGTCCACTTAAGTGATGCAAAATTTGAAATTTTCGATCCACAATACTTAAACGATTCCAAATCTGATCCTGACTAACCACTCAAAATTTGAACCCATTTGGTGAGAAACTGAGATGGCACAAACCATTTGAAGTTTGTATGGGAATTACTATGGTAAAACCAAGATTTTTGTTTATGTCTCTCTAATAATTCACCATATCCCTCTGTATCAAAAGCTTTCACCTGTACTTGTAAGAAATTTTTTCAACTACAACTTTGCTCAAGACCACTTTTTGATTAAATGCAAGGATCGAAAGTTATCAGTGGTTCAATACGCTGATGTCTTATGATCATGCTCAACCAACTGCTCAGCAGTCACCATTGGTGTTTCTGGGGCGTTGAATAGGACACAAATATCATGGCTACTATGTCACACTGCAAAATACAGTGTTGCCTATAGAGCAGCTGCTTGATCATGTCATAAGTTTACCAATCTCTTAAATAATTAATAACTTGTTCCTGTCTCGTTTTACATAGAAACGATTTTGAGCAAAGTTGTAGCTGAGAAAATTTTCTATAAGAATGGCTATCGAACTGTTTCGCAGCTCAATATGGAAAAACACTAGAAGGCAATGAACAAAAAGTTGAGATTTCCCATAGTAATTTACATGTAAACTTCAAATGGCTTGTGCGAAGTCTGTTTCTAACCAAATGAGTTGTAAATTTGGGAGGGTAATCAGGACGCGATTTAAAACCATTTAAGCACTGTGGAGCGAAAAGTCAAAATTTTGCATCAGTCTAGTGTCCACCGTCTCATCTGCAGGCGAACTGACATAAAACATACAGGTACGCTCTATTATAACCTCGCTATCGGCTCGCCTCTGTCTGTTCTCTCAATTAACATCGCAAGCAAGCAGAAAAACAACAACAACATACAAAACAAATGTTACATTAAAACTGAATCAAATGGTGTAATTTAAATTTAAATTAATTCATAATGCACCCCAGTAGGTACATTCCACAAAGACGTCCTACGTCAAAATACATTCTTCATCCTCGTGGAGGCACGTGGTTTTCCGTAAAAACTTCCAACGAGAAAATTCCCCTTTGCAACAGTCCATTCAAACACGACTCCCATTATCCTTTTCCGCATCCATTCGCTGAACAGCAAGCAAGGATATTCAGCGAGGCTTCCATGATTGTATTGCGTCGTACCGTGTCGGTGTCCTTTCACTACACCAACGACGAAGAACCCTGTGTATACATATCGTGTTCGGGAGGACCCGTTCAGCCAGTAACTTTCGTGCCGATGATGTACTCTGTCGTGTATTGTAAAGGTAGCAAACATTCAGGCGCTGCATAGTGGAACCCGTTTTTTCTCCTTTTCCTATCGGACTTTACAAGTGGACCAGCTAAAGTGAGAAAAATCTTCACAAAACAGGAAGTACTCGATTTCCGAATTTGTTGTATCGGTGATTGAGCAAATGATACTGCGAGGATAGTGCAGAAAACGGTTGCAGACCCGGAAAGAAAAGTGGATTAAATTTTCTTCTCATCTCCATCATATATGAAAGAGGATTATGAATGTGGACTAAATCAATTAATATCGAGGTAAATCACCTGGGCCTAAATATGGGGAGTGGGAAAGTAAAAAGTGATACAGAGTGAATAGAATGTGTTCAGAGGAAGGACACTCAAAGGTTGTGATTATATATATATGTGAATATCTATAGGCTGTCTCCTTGAAAGATATCGACCTCCTTACCGGACGTGAATATTTCACCTTTTTACATTGTTTTCCTCAACTGCACACCACTGCACCTCCCATCCGCTTGCCCGCCCTACCAAAACCCATTCTGCTGATGCTGATATTGCTGATACAGCAGTTCGTATGTTGGTGCTGCTGCTTGGCACTTTGACCTGGAGAATCTTTTTCCCATTAATCATTTGCTCTTACAGGTAGTTTCTTTTTTTTTCGGGGTAACAATTTACTGCGGTTAAACTGTTGAGTTCCCCGGTCTATCCCGTATCCCATCGGAGTTCGATGAAAAACTTTTCAATTTGTTGATTTGCCACACTGCCACTGCTGGGCTCATGAATGCAGGCAACTTTCCTGTCATCGAGATGGCTCTGGGCCAAGAAAACGAGCGTTTACTATTTAATTCATGTGCCTAACCGAGTTGCAGTAGACCGAGGGGGGAAACGGATACAACCTGATTCCTGTTTTTCAGTTCCACAAACCGCAACCCCCTTTTTACTCGTTTATTTCATCATCTGGATCGAGGTTAATGAAGTCCCTGGCCTAATATTTGGCACTTGCCTTCTTCCGAGTGCCAACTTTTTATACATCTATGATTCGGTTTATGATTCTTGCGGATCAACACTTTCTCTATACATAGCATCCGGTTCCGTTTTTCTCTCGCGCGCGCCGCGTAGGCTCCTCACCACGGATAGTATTTGCTAGGTATGTATATAAATATACCGCACGGACAGGGAGGAAAAATCGATTTCACGTCATCATCCCATCCGGGCTATACACAGTCCCCGGTTCCTCTCGCTGTAGTTCTTATGATTTACCTATACATGCAGTGACGTAGTGCGGATCGGTTGTACTTTTGAAGTGAGGGATCAGAAATTCCTGCATCGTATTTGTTATGATTTTGGCTTTTTCAGGACTGTTTTGTCATTTGAACACCCAGTGAGTGAGAATTTGGGGGAATCGATTTTAGTGAGAACGAGATGAGATTTCCCGGGATTCCCGAAATATCCGGGAAATTTATAGATCTATCAGACTAAAAACTGTCTAACTTAAACTTCATTTTCGATGATAAAGGAAAGCATTAGTGTGAGATGCTGCTTGCGATTGGGTTTAACAGGAAAAATACTGTAATAATAACAAAGCTGCTCGCTCATCTGCTTTCCTAATATAAAACTAGCATGAGTAACACCATCAACATAATTAAGGCTAGTTTAACCGAATCATTTCGTTGTTCATCTTACTTGAATTATTAATGTTCAGACTAAAAAGTTGATTGATATTTCACTTTTTTCGTATTGCTTTCAAGTCACTTGGACGTCTGCTACCAGGAAGTGCATTAAATTTAACATACTTGAACTGTGTAAGCCCGGCTTTAGAAAAAAAAATATTGTTCAATATCGTGCGTGGCTCATACACACCCATTTTTTATTGCTGGAAACCAGCAACATTTTGCTGGATTTTCCCGTGCTGTATAACCATCAATCCTTCCAGCAAATATTTTTTGACGGAAGGTTACGAGAACCTTTCCTCGTTTTAATAAGAAAAATAGGACAACAATGCATCAAGTAGTTAGAGAAATCACTTAAACCCTCTTTTATTCAGTTGTTATTAAAATAACTCTACACAAAACATTTAATTATCTCCAAGTTCTCCTCCATTCGCACGGAAGCATCTTCTCTATCTTTCTACCGAATGTATCTAGAATAAAATGCAATCTGTTACAAGATAACATTTCCTTCAAAATATTCCCCAGTCTTACCGTTCCACAGTGGTGCAAAAGGTCAAATCCATGAACTTGTTACCGGCGGGTAACATTGTTTTCATATGTTTAGTACACGGGATATAGCTATATTTATATTAGGGAGATTATTTAATCGGCAACGGTCAATTTGAATTCGTTGGTGGGTGGCATAAGTGGTCAGACCATCGAACAGCTAAACGATGAGTGCAGGTGGGTGGTGGCGATATCCACTGGGCGGAAACTCTCCCTGGAGAGAGTGACGGAGCCCACGATGGAGGAGAGTGAGCAGATAACGGAGGCTGGGGAAGTTTAGGGCCAACCACCGAAGTCGCAAGACGTGCGCTCGTGTGTCGTCCAGCGGGCAGACTGCTAGTGCTTGAGAGAAATCGCGAACTGTGGGAAAGTGACGATCACCCGGCTATCAGTGACCACGTGCATAGTGATAAGCCGTACCATTGCGGGATCACCACACCTACCGTACGATCGAACCCCGGTCAAAATCCGTCCACCGACGGGCTGCAACTCAGCCGCCACCCGGCCACCGCCCGGACGCCTTCCAGCTGCTCTAAGTAACCGGCCACCTGGCCGTAACTCTGTCTTCATCCGGCCGCACTCAGTCGTCCCCTCGACCGAACTCGCCTCCTTCCGGTCGCCAACCCAGCCGCAACTCGGTCTTCATCCGGCCGCACTCAGCCGCCCCCTCCGACCGAACTCGCCTTCATCCGGCAGTATACCTGGCCGTCGTACGAGCGCCATCCGGCTGCTACCGGCGACCATCCAGTCACTACCCGTACACTATCCGGACACCACCCGGCCACCACCAGGTCGCCTACCGGACGCCATCCTACTGCCACCCGACAATCACCATATCGCTACCCGTCACCACCAAAGTCCAGTCAGGTTGTTTGCCATCAATTAATAAATAATTTAACCGTTGACCGAAGCGTTTGATAGGATGGCGTGTCCGAAAACTCTCCCACGCTCGTACGCCTTGAGATCGTAGCTCGTAGGCTGTCGTAGGCTTAGACCGGCAGCTTGGGGCTTTGGCAGGTCCTTCTCCAGGTCCTAGCGGTTCCGGGGCCTAAAAGTGTCTTATATTTGGCGCCCAACGTGGGGCCCGAAGGGAGAGAAGACACAGTCTACAAACGAAATACTAGACTCTCAAACGCAAAGGAGTTTTATAACGCGAAATTGGGAGCACAGTTTGTACCTTGCACAGTGGTGGCGAAGCATGGTTCGTCTTCCTACGAACTGGCCGATCCAAACGGTCGTATTATAGGGGTTTGGCCAGCAAACCTGCTTAAGCGAGCTCCGTAATCATTTTATGATGGACGAAATGGGCGATCCAATAACGTCCTCAGTCTCTGGATTCCAAAGCTGAAAGAAAAGATCCCATTGTTAGTACAACCTTGAACTGTCCTCTGGACTTGTTTGCACACCAGGGGTGCTCACCTATAGTCCTAAATTCAGGAAATTCAGGAATTTCAGAATTTTTCATTATCACCTTTCACAGTGGTTTTTTTTTTTCAATAGGGTGTCTTCAGAAGAGTTTTAATAAATGACAAGACCCATTGAATGAAGATAAGTTTTAGTTCGGAACTTCGCCACAGAATATAAATTTTTAGTTTGGCCAGCTAGAGATATGAAGACTTCAGCTAAGTTGTAGGCTGCTTCATAACTAAAAACTTTGTAGAAGACGCCATCTGCTTGTGATTTTGTGTTATGAAGCGTTTTTTATAAAAGGGCCTCACAAATCCGTTTTTTGTAAATATTTCTGAAATGGTTTCTTTTAGATGACTATAATGTTCTGCAGCTTTTTAATAATCAATAAAATACACAACTTTACTCAAGACAAAAAGTTCTATCTACAAAACAGAAAATGTTATAGGCAATATCAGCTCAAAAATAGCCAAGCTTCAAACATCAACAAACTTCAAATAGGCAAAAAGGGGGCAGACGGCTCCTCAATATGATGAAACTATAGTGAAAATACTATCATTTCATCTAGTAGTCATATGTATCCCGTTGTACCCACAGGCCTCAGACAAAATTATATAATTTAGATATTTTATTCCATTGATTATTATTATATTTTATTTATTTTCATCACCCTGATAAAGAATTTCCCGTTGAATTAATTATTTTAATATCAGCCTTGTTCAATTCTCTCTCTATTTTCGTTTGACTCAAAATCAGTGTCTTCCAGCTGGTGAATTGATTGTAGATCCAGTATATTTTTAGCATTCTCTACCAAATCCATCTATCGCTTGTCGCTAACATCTCTTAAACTAGAAATGAATGGATCTGACGATTCTAGGAGCTGATGGTTCAAATTTTCATTCACTGTCGTCCTAGATATCTTCCCGATATGATCGATTCAGTAGCTTTAAAATATGTTTATATTAGTTGATTAAACGCAATATTACTATTCATTTATTGATATCATGCACAATAGTCGCGGAATGGTGTTTACCCTCCTCTCTTAGTTTCATTTGAGTAGCATATGCTAACTCAGCCGTTGAATATTTGTTCCTTAAATCCGATTTCTTCCGTGTTTTTAAAACTTCGCTTCTGCCTTCGAATCCCAGTAACAGTGATGCAAAATATCATGACACTCACATGACACTCGTCTTCGCACCAACCGACTATCGCTGACAGATCGTTTTGTCACGCAGTGAGAGTTAAGCTAGGTTTAGACAGGGCAAGTCAATTGATCAAGTCAGTTGAATTCAACTGACTTGAACGCGAATTAAACGTGTAAACCATGCCATTCAACTGACTTGATCAACTCACTTGAATTGAAAAAAAGTTGAGCCAGGCTCAACTTTTCAAGCCAATTGAATTCAACTGAGTTGATCATTTGACTTGCCTAGTCTAAACCTCACTTTAGAGCCATGGCAAACAAAAATCACCAGTAATGGTCGCTGCTCACAAGCAAAACGCTACACTCGTTGCTGATGATGAAAAGCACAACGAAAACAGTGAAGACTTCTGACGGATTTCACGCCAACTCATCCAGTGGTTGGCAGCACCCTCTCAGAACCTTATGGAACTTTGTGGGTGTGGAGACTTAGCAATTTTAAGCAACTTTGCGTACTTATTTTTTTCAAA